AAGGAAGGAGGGGTAGGGGTCGTCCTCGAAAGGGTTGGAAAGAGGGGGTAAAGGAGGTTTTGTGGGCTAGGGGCTTGGACTTCCAGCAAACGTGCATGAGCGTGTTAGATAGGAGTGAATGGAGGCGAATGATACTTGGGACCTGACGATCTGTTGGAGTGTGAGCAGGGTAATATTTAGTGAAGGGATTCTGGGAAACCGGTTATGTTCATATAGTCGGACTTGAGTCCTGGAAATGGGAAGTACAATGCCTGCACTTTAAAGGAGGGGTTTGGGATATTGGCAGTTTGGAGGGATATGTTGTGTATCTTTATACGTATATGCTTCTAAGCTGTTGTATTCTGAGCACCTCTGCAAAAGCAGTGATAATGTGTGAGTGTGGTGAAAGTGTTGAATGATGATGAAAGTATTTTCTTTTTGGGGTCACCCTGCCTCGGTGGGAGACGGCCGACTTGTTGAAATATATATATATATATATATATATATTATATATATATATATATATTATATATATATATATATATATATATGTATACAGTGGTACTTCAGGATATGAACAGCTCAAAACTTGAACAATTATGTAAGAATATTTATGTAAGTTCTTTTATAAGTGTATTTTTGGGGTCTGAAATGGATTAATCTAATTTACATTATTCGCTATGGGAACAAATTCATTCGGTATCGGTACTAGAACAGCCTTCTGGAACGAATTAAGTTCGTATCCCGAGGTACCACTGCTTATATACACATGGTGGACACACAAGGTGAGAAGTACAGCAGGGTGGGTGATGTCACCAGTTGAAGAGACAGAGTGAGTTAAGTGGGCTAAGTTGGCTTGTCAAAGCTTTACCATTAGGTTAAGCCAGTATGCTGACTAAGGTGCACGTTCATTTATTTTATGTAATAGTAATATTGTGTCTTGTGTGAATATCTTTGGCAAGTGTTTTTGAAACAAAATATGAATTTGATTTCTTTGTGAGTGTTAGTTGTGGTAATCAGTGCAAATTCTGAGCAGTCTACTCTGTATTCTTTCTTGATAACTTTTAGGATCAGGTGCTGTATGACCCATGCCAAATGACTGATTGTATGTGGATTCCCTCAAAAGAGAATTATAATTAACTTGTCAAGTATGTCTTTGGCAGGAACAGGGAGGTCAAATCCACTATTAATTTTCTGGCAAAGGTCAACAGCTTGTGTCGCAGATACCTTAGTAATAACAATGTCACATCAAAGTTAGAGTTTCTTGTTCTTGATGCTTATATTTTTAATTCTGTTAATGACATCCCCTGAATATCTAAGGTGAGCTGTACTCTGCAAGATATTATTATAATCATGGGGGAGAGCTAAACCCGTAAGATTATACAGCGCTTGTGTGGGAGGGAAGAATGGAAGGCATTCAGGCTCAATTCAGGTAACTGGAGCACAGATCCAATTTTGTAGATCAAAGAGCTCCTCACCAGCATCAAGGAACCTCCCTTGAGGGGCAAGATGACATGAATAAAGCTTGTACTATTCACCATAATGTGGAAAACCATCTTGTGAACTTCCCAATGCAAAACTATTTATCAAAAAAGCAAATAGATGCAGTAGACTGCTATGATAGACATGACTAACACCATCATAAAGAAATCAGGTTACTCTTAATTTCAGAAATGCTGGCCAAACTTTTTCTCATCAGACACAGTAATACTAGTATATAAAAGTTCCACTCCTCCTTCAGAGGAGCAGGGATGTTGCAGCTGGTGGGTAATCTGAATGATATTAAACTAACTATGTTTATTATGCACCCCATATTGAATGAGTTTTCTTCTTTGCGTCACCCCTGCCTAGGTATGAAATGGACAAAAAAAAAAATGCTGTTTACTTCTCGCTGTGTGAATTGATAGTCCCTGGTGGATGAAACGTCTCAATATATGTGATAAATCACATATTGCATCTTATCCACATACTTATATTCTATCATTTATTCACACAGAGGTACATATACATATGTATCTGTGTATATACACCAAGAGGTTAGTATGTGTGTATACCTAGAGGTATCTCAGTGTATATACAAGAGATGTGCATCTTTGTGCATGTAAATTTTGTATTTAAACCCTATTTTTGGGATTAAAGTATTCTTGCCTAGTGGTGTACAGGCAAAATTCAGCCTCGGTAATTCTTGCTCAGTTGACTGGCTTTAACTCCAAGAAATCTTTAGTGGAAGAATGGACCATATGTGCCAACATGCTATAACAATGCTTTTTAAGCATGTACATGTAATTCGTTCAAGGGACTGAACCTGAGAATTGGATCATGATGGATAATTGATAAAAAGTTCATCGCTGTAGTAATTTGATCACAGAATAATTAAAATTTTAAGACATAACTAGTGCAATATATGTTTTGGATGTTGAAACCTCAAAGTGAAATGAACACTTGCCACTGAGAAGTTTAAACTCACATAAAGACAGAACAGCAATAGGATATGGTGATCTACTATGATCTGAACAGGACCTCAGCTGGAGGTTAAAGTATACAAGCTATTTCTCTCGTTTGTCTGTCTTTTTTTTTTTTTTAGCCTTTCACTGATACAAGTTAACACAATACTGTATAATCTAAGACTAGCTTTTTGTAACTATGAAAGGCATAATTGGATATTCTTTGTTATTGTAAAAGATTTAAAGGCTCAGGGCTTTCTAAACCCTGCAATAGAGGAACAGTAAACAAGAGAAAAATGCATGATGCAAATAAAATGAATATTACATTCATCTAGTATAACAGGCTGGCAATTTACAAACAGTAATTTTTCCCCTACTTTTAACTACCAAGAACAGCACATATGTAAATCTGCAAAACAGAATTCAATAGATTTTCACATTTAATTTGACAATTACAGTCAATTCACCAAATGTTTATTAAGGTCACTTATATGCTCCTAGTTTCATTGTAGGGCTTACACAGTTCTTTTGTAGTAAGCTACCCTGATACTAATGGGTTTTTGATTCAAGGAATTGGCTATCTCCCTTTTCTTGAACCAAGCCTGATTTATCTCCCATTCCCCAGGTACTGCTGTATGACTCCTACAGGTTTAGTGCTTCCCCATGATTAAAAAATATATTAATTATGGTAAAGGTATTTTAATCAGGGGGAAGGGCTAAGCCCATGGAGGCCATATGGCACCTATGGTAAATCAACAGCTTGAGAGGAATTAGACAGTTCTCTATCTTAGAAGAGGAAATATTAAGATGCATATAATGCATTCATTCGCAATGTCCTAAATTTCCCACAGATCACAGCACTGGGTATGTCCAAGAGGCTGACAGTATCATGGAGGAGGTAAAGGGAGGTGATGATCAAGGTCCACTTCAGTGCCGTCATCCTGCTGTTGCTGCTGTTTCTGTTGTTCTTCCTGTCGGGTGCGAATTTGTTCCAACTGCTGTCTTAGTCTGCTGTGAGTATGACGCAAATTCTCCTGAAATAAGAGAGCTAATTATAAGAAATTCCCTATAAACTGTGGAAGAAGGCCTTAGTGTGAGGCAAAAATATACATCACAGTAAAACCTCACTTTAACAGACAAAACCAGGATATACACAAGATCTGTTTTTGTTATAACAGTTTTAAAACAATCTCATTATTTAGATTTAAACAATATGTATTACCAGACACCCTCTCCCTTGTATTTATTTGCTATATTGAGGTTTCAATATTGAGTTTTATTTTCTCTGTTAAAACTGGTATAAAATACCAATAGCATACAATGCTCCCTTTGTGTAGGGGAAAAGTGGACAAGAGAGATGGCAAGAATTATAGGGGAATAAGCCTGTTGAGTATACCAGGTACAGTGCACAGGAGAATTGTTTAAAAGGCTAGAGGGAAGACAGAGTAGGATTACAGAGTTTCATGTTGCAGTGCATAAGTGAGCAGTACTTCGATATGAGTAAAGAGCTGTTTGCTACATCTGTGGATTTAGCAAAGGCATATGACTGGGTGAATAGGAGAGCCATGTGGCACATGTATGGAATAGGTGGTAGGTTACTAAAACCAGTAGAAAATTTTCAAGCAGATGGTGAACCTCATGATAGAGTAGGAAGGAGGGCTATTTTCCTGTGAAAGCAGGACTTAGCCAGGGATGTGTTATGCTATCATGGTTGTTTAACGTATTTATAAATGGGGGTTGTAAAAGAAGTAAATGCTAGGGAGTTTGGGAGAACGGTGGGACTAAAAAATGTAGAATCCAATTGGAAGAGGGAGTTGTCACAATTGCTCTTTGGAGATTCTGAAGACAAGTTGCAAAGGTTTATGGATGCATCTAGTATGGTATGTAAAAGTATGGAATTAAAGGTGAATATTGAAAAGAGCAAGGCAATGAGGTTAAAAAGAAGTCAAAGTAATAATAGATTGACTCTCAAATTGGAGGGAACATGCAGCATGTGAATGTACATATTCATATATCTGAGAATAGACACATCAGAGGGAAAAAATAGGAGTCTGTTAAAGACAAGGTGATAAACAGAATTTTTTTTTTATAACACTGGCCGATTCCCACCAAGGCAGGGTGGCCCGAAAAAGAAAAACGTTCACCATCATTCACTCCACCACTGTCTTGCCAGAAGGGTGCTTTACACTACAGTTTTTAAACTGCAACATTAACACCCCTCCTTCAGAGTGCAGGCACTGTACTTCCCATCTCCAGGACTCAAGTCCGGCCTGCCGGTTTCCCTGAGCCCCTTCATAAATATTACTTTGCTCACACTCCAACAGCACGTCAAGTATTAAAAACCATTCACTCCTATTAAACACGCTCATGCATGCCTGCTGGAAGTCCAAGCCCCTCGCACACAAACCTCCTTTACCCCCTCCCTCCAACCTTTCCTAGGCTGACCCCCTACCCTGCCTTCCTTCCACTACAGACTGATACACTCTTGAAGTTATTCTGTTTCGCTCCATTCTCTCTACGTGTCCGAACCACCTCAACAACCCTTCCTCAGCCCTCTGGACAACAGTTTTGGTAATCCCGCACCTCCTCCTAACTTCCAAACTACGAATTCTCTGCATTATATTCACACCACACAGAATACATGAGGAAAAAAAGAGTATGTTGAGGCATCTACAGAAAGAAGTTTATAGAGGCAAAAAAGAAATGCACCAGTGTACTGTAGTACCAACGCCTTTGTATGGGTAGAAGTATGGCTTTAAACATTACAAGGAGAAGCTAGAGGCAGTGGAGATGTCACCTTTGAGAGCAATGTTTGGTGTAAATATGCAAGTGCTGAAAGATGGTATGGGGCCACCAAGGGATAAATCAGAGGGCTGAGGTGGTTTTATTTAAAGAGGACGGAAGGAAAAAGGATAATGGAGAGGAAGGGGTTGTCCCAGGAACATTTGAAGAGAAAGGGTAAAGGAGGCTTTGAGTTTGAGACCTGAGCATCCAGTAGGCTTGTGTGAGCATGTGGTTTTTAATAGGCATGCTGCTGAAGTGGGAACATGGTAATATAAAGGGTTCAGGGGAAAAAAAAAATTAGCAAGTGCAGTGCCTGAACTCTGAAGAAGGGTTGGAAATGTTGCATTAGGTGGGTAATATGAAATGTGATTATTAGCACACTTCTGGCAAAACAGTAATAGAATGAATGATGGTTAATGTGCTTCCTTTTTATTGGGTCACTCTGTCTTATGGGAAGACAGCCACTGAAAAAAAGTGTGGTGATTATTAGCCCTTTCACTGCTCATCACATAGAACTGTGTCATGAGCTTAGCTCACTCTGATAAACTGCGAGTGGTAAATTCTGGCCTAGATATGAGAAAACGGGTCTGAGTGGTGAGTGTACACAATATAAAATAAATCCTGTCTCTTGAGGTGTATGAGGAGAAAAGCAAAACTCTAGCCTTATGTCTGGTTTAAATAACCAACTTTGAGATTTTTTTTATGGTTTTATTAGCCATTTCTTGGTATCATTTGAAAGAGTGGAAGACATACTACTGAAATAGAGATGATTTTGGTAAGTTCTAAGACCAGAAAAAGCTTGAAATTGGCCTCAAAGTATAAATGTTATATTCTCAATGGGTTTAGTGCTCCCCTATTATAATAATAATAATATATTCTTGACAATTTTTCTGAGGACTGGTAAAGCCTCCCTACACTCCCCTGGTTTGTTCATTGGGTTTTTACTAGGTCTGATTCAATTATTGGAACATTGTAAACTATGACCAATCATTCCTGATTGATTCTTTTACTTTAACACTGCCAAACTGACTAAACACTTTTGTGTGCTGAAAAGGCTTAGCTTTGCTCTTCATTACCCAGGGATAAAGAACTCTGTCACCAATTATTGCATCAAAATGCAACATAAATTAAGGAATTTACTGAAATGCATTATGCAGCAGAGGAATGATCTTCAAAGTACTTTTTAAAAAAAAACATACCCTCTTGCTCTCCAGTTCTCTGATTTTATCTTGGTACCGCTGATTGCCCAGCTGCTCCAGTTTCTCTGCTTGTGAGAGTTTGTTCTCCAGCGCACTCTTGCGCTTTCTCAAGTTGAAGATCTCTTGTTGTAAAACTAAGTACTTTCGTGCCATCTGTACAAAGAAACCATTGTTTATAGGAAAACTACAGAATTTCTACACTAATAATTTAACCATCATACTAAATAATATACAGGTAAGGGTGGGTCAAGAATTTCTATATATGAGAGCTTAGGTGTGGCTGTCTGGTTTGGAGGAGGCTTATGTCTTGAAGTTGCATTATTATTAATTATAAATAATATTACAATTATTTTTGGGGGCTTATGGAGATTATGGGGGGCTTCATCCTCCCGTGGAACTGCCACTATATATAGTACTAATAATGGAAAAAAGACTAAGGGAGATGGAAGATAAAGGCAAAAGAGAGAGAGAGTGGAATATAGAGAGGAAGAAGAGAAGATCCTTGTAGATGATATGGAATAAGGTAGCAACATTGTTTCATAAATAACAAAAAGGCACAATACCATGACTGGAACAATACACAAATAACTCGCACATAGGAGAGAGGAGCTACGATGACATTTCAGTCTGACTTGGACCATTTAGTGTCACACTAACATAAAGGAGAAAAGGAGGGCATATATATAGTCCAGCAGACAGGGACGGGACAAGAGAGGTAGTAGTGGAGTCAGTGAAAGACTAAGGGGAGCACTGAGAAAGAGAGAAATAAGAACTCCTTTCTCCATGCTCTCTGCATTTGTGATCCTCAGTTCCTTGAATCGGAAATTTCCACTCTTCGTAATTCATTTTCCCGTCTTGGCTATCCTTCCCATTTCATAAATTGTTTTTTCACATGCTAAATGGACTTTCTTCTCTCCCAAACTCTCTACTCCTAAGAACTCTCTTGTCCTCTGCCTTCCCTATATTTCCAGTCTTTCTAATCTCAACAATTCTCTCCATTACTTAGACATCAAACTTACTTTTTGCCAGACTAACACTCTTCGTACCAATCTAGTTCATACCTCTCCTCCCTCTATAGATGCTCCTGGTGTCTAATGTATTTCTTGTTCCTCTTGTCCTCTTCCGTACTCTGGAGAAACTGGCTGTTCTCTTTCTGACAGACTCAGGGAGCACAAAAGTAGTGTTATGCTTGCCAATACCAACAATGCTCTTTTCTGTCATGTCAAAGTCTTTGACCCCACTATTACTACCTCTACCACTACCTCTCTTCTTCCTTTCCTACTACCTCTCTTGTCCTGTCCCTGTCTGCTGGCCTATATATACTCTCTCCTTTTCTCCTTTATGTTAGTGTGACTGTAAATGGTCCAAGTCAGACTGAAACATCGTACTAGTTCCTCTCTCCTATATGCAGGTTATTTGTGTATTGTTTCATGTTCACTATGCAGTTTAGCCATCATTTTGGTAAACAGTATTTACCAAAATATATGAAGTATGCAGTGGTTTTTAACTAAATATCGTATTTCTCAGCTTATAAGACTTGTCATAGTTTCAATGGCTTGGCATTGGATGTAACTGGGAGAGCCCATCCCACGCCCTAAACTTAAAACTCCCGTCACTCACCTTCAGTTTATAGGATGAAGGGTGGTTTTTGGAGACATTTTATGGAAAAAAAAGTGTCTAATAAGCCGCAAAATACGGTATAGTTAGTATGATTCTGCAACTTCTTATAGCTTCCACTACAATAAAACTGTTTGAATGTGTTTACATTATATTCACACCTTTGTAAAAATATTGTATCTATTTGACCTGACGAAGTTTCTTTTCCTCCTATTTTAAATTCTACAACAACATAGGCATGTCAAGCCAATGATCATATCACCACCAGGTCAGATGTGATGAATCTTACAAAGAAAAAAAGCATAATGGGAAGAAAGTTAAATTCCTAGTTATACTGGAACTGAAACAAACCTGACTGGTTTTTGAGCTTGTCCTCACTGGTACAAGCTAGCTCAAGTGGTAGTGAAAGTGAGAAGAGTGACTGAGTGTTATATTTCCCCTGTTTTACAAGCTTACCCTGTAGGTGGTGCTATCAAACTAGTCCTCTCTACAAATGAAACTAATGCAGTAACCTCTCCTAAAAAATAATGTAACTTAGTGGTAGTTCCTATGGATGATGAAGGCTGTAATTCCCCATTACTCTCAGCTAATGTGGCCAACAAGATTAATACACAAGTTCCAACACAAACCACAATACTAGGAGAACCTACCGTGCATAATGAAACCATTAATGATAGTCAACTTTAATTACATGCACTTCCCAACTCTACCTCTGTTATGCCTGATCAGAGATCAGCAAGGGTGAAGAGGATATTACACGTTTTAGCACATCCTACTTTACAGTCCTGTATGACCCTTATGGGTTTAGTACTTGGTTATGATTGTAATAATAATGATAGTCAAGAGGTAATATCTGCTGAGGACTGCTTACTTATAAATCTACAAAAATGCCTAAAACATGATGTACCATTACAGCAAGTCTTGAAGAAATATTATCTAAAGAAATTTGGGAAGGTAACTTTTCAGGGTGGTTTAAATAGCATCCATGTCGGCTTTCTTTTAGGGAAAAATCACAAGGGATCCTTTTATGCATGCAGAGTATATTCAGCTAACAATTCATCCAAATTTGTTAATTGGAAAAAAAAAAAACTGATCTTCCCATAACACATGCCAGGGTGAGGCACATCAAACACCAATGACAATGTGGATAAATGTTAAAACAAAGAAGGAAAAATCTACCATTTTTTATTTATTATTATCACACTGGCCGATTCCCACCAAGGCAGGGTGGCCCGAAAAAGAAAAACTTTCACCATCATTCACTCCATCACTCCATCACATTCTAAACCTAAAAGATAGCTATCACAAAATTTATACAATCACTGAAAGTTATCACTGAATGTTAGTCATAAAGGGCTATGTAAATGCCTGCTGTATGATCCTTGTGGGTTTAGCTCTTAGTTATGATTGTAATAATAATATGTAAATGCCTGTCTAGCCACTTACTAAACTGTATGGCACACAACAATGAAAATGGAACCACAAGCTACATTGTGTGAATTTTTTTGTAGCACAAAAAAAAAAAAAACAGCACAATTTAAATAAGCACTAAGTTTATATTCATAAAAATACTCAGACTGTGATAATAAAAAACAACACTGATTCATACCTCTTTGTGTTCAGAGAAGATCTTTTGTGACTCCGGGCATGATGGTAGAGGCTTAATGGGCCGGATTTCATTGTCAAGGAAGTCCCAAAAAGGTCCCAGTTCTTCCTCATCAGCACCACTGCTACCCTCAGTGACCCCACCTCCTCCACCACCTCCACCATCACCATTGTGACTACCACCACCTGTGGAGAATAAGTAATACTAATATTTATACGTACATTATTTATGGAGAACCTGGTAAACTAGAGATAAAGTTTGATCCAAGGAGAGGGAGGGAACTTCCAATTCTTGGATTAAGAGCATTTCACAGGCATCAAGATACTCAGATGACAGGAAACAACTTTAGTAAATGTTATTTATATTAAAAATTAAGAGGAGCTAGAAAAGGTGATGACCAGACAAAAGTTACAATGCAGCTCATTAAAAAGACTTGTACATATCTAAAAGCAAACTGAGGTTCAGTAATAAATATATACCAGTGCTTCTCGACTTATGAAGGGGTTTAAGTTCCGATAAGCCCATCATAAGGTTAATATGAATACAGCCTCTCCTCACTTAGCAACGTACTTGGTTACCGACAACTCAGACTTACGACAGGTTCTCTGACCAGCATGTATACCTAAATAATGAGGACATTAGAGCACTCCAGGATGATTTGAATAGACTGATGCAGTGGTCGGAGAAGTGGCAGATGCAGTTTAATATAGACAAATGCAAAGATCTAAATGTTGGACAGGAAAATAACCATGCCACATATAAACTAAATAATGTAGATCTTAATATTACGGACTGCAAAAAGGATTTAGGAGTTCTGGTAAGCAGTAATCTAAAACCAAGGCAACAGTGCATTAGTGTTCGCAATAAAGCTAACAGAATCCTTGACTTCATAGCAAGAAGTATAAATAATAGAAATCCTCAGGTTGTTCTTCAACTCTATATATCATTTAGATTATGCTGCATAGTTTTGGTCACCGTATTACAGAATGGATATAAATGCTCTGGAAAACATACAAAGGAGGATGACAAAGTTGATCCCACGTATCAGAAATCTTCCCTATGAGGATAGACTGTGGGCCCTGAACCTGCACTCTCTAGAAAGGCGTAGAATTAGGGGGATTGCTGACCTAGAAAATGTAGAGAACCTTCACGGCGCGCATAACGGAGATAAAACACCTCAATTACTGGGAGCGCTTGAGGTTCCTGAACCTGTATTCCCTGGAACGCAGGCGGGAGAGATACATGATTATATACACCTGGAAAATCTTAGAGGGACTAGTACCGAACTTGCACACGAAAATCACTCGCTATGAAAGCAAAAGACTTGGCAGACGATGCAACATCCCCCCAATGAAAAGCAGGGGTGTCACTAGCACGTTAAGAGACCATACAATAAGTGTCAGGGGCCCGAGACTGTTCAACTGCCTCCCAGCATACATAAGGGGGATTACCAACAGACCCCTGGCAGTCTTCAAGCTGGCACTGGACAAGCACCTAAAGTCGGTTCCTGACCAGCCGGGCTGTGGCTCGTACGTTGGTTTGCATGCAGCCAACAGTAACAGCCTGGTTGATCAGGCTCTGATCCACCAGGAGGCCTGGTCACAGACCGGGCCGCGGGGGCGTTGACCCCCGGAACTCTCTCCAGGTAAACTCCAGATATGATTGAGGTGTATAAATGGAAAACAAGAATTAATACAGGGGATGTAAATCACATGCTAAAAATATCTAACATAGACAGGACTCGCAGCAATGGCTTTAAATTGGAAATATTCAGATTCAGGAAGGATATAGGAAAGCACTGGTTTGGTAATAGAGTTGTGGATGAGTGGAACAAACTCCCGAGTACTGTCATAGACGTTAAGACGTTGTGTAGTTTTAAAAATAGGTTGGATAAATACAAGAGTGGGTGTGGGTGGGTGTGAGTTGGACCTGACTAGCTTGTGCTACTAGGTCGGATGCACTGCTCCTCCCTTAAGTGACGTGTCTGACCTCACTAGGTCAAGGCACTGGCTTAAGCAAGTGGGAGAAATGGAGCTGCCTCGCATAGGCCAGTAGGCCTGCTGCAGTGTTCCTTCTTTCTTATGTTCTACAGCTGATTTCTTCTATTCGATTTATTATGATATACAGTGGTACCTCGAGTTTCGAACAGCTCCCAACTCGAACAATTATGTAAGTGTATTTGTGTAAGTGCTTTTGTAAGCGTATTTTTGGGAGTCTGAAACAGACTAATCTAATTTACATTATTCCTTATGGGAACAAATTCATTTGGTAATGGCACTCAAACAGCCTTCTGGAACGAATTAAGTTCATAACTTGAGGTACCACTGTACAGTACATTACTGTAATAACATTTTTAGTATGTTTTTAAATGTTTAAAGTGGTGTAAAGGTTACATTAAAACAATATCAAAGATGGATGAGACAAACCCACTACCATTATAGTATGCTCCTCACTTAGCAATGAATTTGTTTACCAAAGAGGTCTTAGGAATGGAACTCTGTCGTTAAGTGAGGAGAGGCTGTATATGCTAAATAAATAAATATCACTGAATAAATAACTAAATAATTACTGTAACTAAATACCAATATTGAGAAGTGAATAAATGAATACAAATTACAAACTTGCTGCCTTCATGCTGGGTAATTATCTCAAGTTTCATCTCCATTGTAAAGTCAAAATATTGTAAGTTGAACCATTGTAAGTCGAGGAGCACCTGTATATACATACTGCACATAGTTAAAATAAATGTCATTATCTTAAACCACTATGACTTAACACTAAGACTTGTGGGTTTAGAGCTTAGTAGTGATTGTAATAATAATAATACTTCATGGGGAAGTGAAACAGAATTCTTCCTCCATAAGCCATGCATGTCATAAGAGGCGACTAATATGCCGGGAGCAAGGGGCTAGTAACCCCATCTCCTGTATACATTACTAAATTTTACGAGAATTTTTTTTTTCTTTTTTGGGTCACCCTGCCTTGGGGGGGATACAGCCAGTTTGTTGAAAGAAATAATAATAACACAGTAGAACCCACATATCTGCAGGTACAGTTTCCACGGTTTCAGTTATCTACTGTTTATTGTGGCCTGAAAATAACCCTTAATTTTCCTTAATAATGACACCAAAACAACATTAGTGATTACGGCAGTTGGTTAAGCCTAAGAGAAACCATGAAGTGCTTCCCATCAGTGAAAAAGAGCTAATTCTCCACTTACTGTGCATAATTTATCAATTAAAATTGATCATAGTATGTCCATAAATGAAAAATGACTTGTATACAGCCTCTCCTCACTTAGTGACATACTTGTTTACAGACGACTCAGACTTACAAAGGGCTCTCTGACCAGTATGCATACCTAAATAATGTCTATTTTAGCCGATTTTCTCTATTCTGCTTTTTTCAATATACAGCACACTATATAAACATTTAAAAATATACCAGAAATGTTATAAATAGTGCAAAGGTGACATTAAAACAATATCAAAGACTGTTGACACAACCCCACTCCCATTATACAGTGGACCCCCGCTTAACGATCACCTCCAAATGCGACCAATTATGTAAGTGTATTTATGTAAGTGCGTTTGTATGTGTATGTTTGGGGGTCTGAAATGGACTAATCTACTTCACAATATTCCTTATGGGAAAAAATTCGGTCAGTACTGGCACCTGAACATACTACTGGAATGAAAAAAGTTCGTTAACCGGGGGTCCACTGTAGTATGCTCCTCACTTAGCGACGAATTCGTGTAACTGACGTGGTCGTAGGAACGGAACTCCATTGTTAAGTGAGAAGAGGCTGTATAGGGTTCACTAGTATCCACAGTTTCAGGTATCCATGGTAAGTCTTGGAATGTATCCCTTGTGGATATGGCAGCCCTACTGTAATAATAATGCATAATATAATAATAACTACATATAATTCACAGTTTACATCTTATCACAATGTATCCTGACGAGCAACACACTCGTCAATCCGACTATAAAAATGGAATTTTTGTTGTAAACATAGCTGGCAATACTGAGTGTAACTGATATGCTCTTACAGTAGCATCATTTTCTAAAAATGAATCTTGGTACTAGGAGAGAAGAAGTTTGGCACAGCTTCATGTTGTCTCAACCACCACCATCACCATGAATATCACCACCATGAATGTCACCACCATGAATACCACCACCATGAATACCACCACACAACTAATGGGTTTGTGGGACTGCCTCTAACCAAGGTTGTGGGACTAACCACTTCTTACCAAGGTTGGAGGGACTGACCACCTTTTGTGCAGGGGAAACATTTAATAAAAATAACCAATTGTACATATACATGTACATATTCTTTACTGCAACCTTGACCACCTGCAGTGTTAAACACCTGTGCTAGTTGTCACACACCTGTGCACATTATATTGTCAATGGTACAGGTGTCTGTCTGCAGTGCCAAACATCTACACCCAAAATAATACTACAGTGGACCCCCGCATAACGATCACCTCTGAATGCGACCAATTATGTAAGTGTATTTATGTAAGTGCGTTTGCACGTGTATGTTTGGGGGTCTGAAATGGACTAATCTACTTCACAATATTCCTTATGGGAACAAATTCGGTCAGTACTGGCACCTGAACATACTTCTGGAGTGAAAAAATATCGTTAACCGGGGGTCCACTGTATATATAAAACACCTGGCGGCACTGAACCTTTCAACGGGGTGCTCTGATGTCGGTGTGGGGCTCGTGGTCCAAGGAACTGGAGTTCCCCCCTCTTCCTTGGGATCAAACATGATACCTCCCACTCCCCAGGCGCTGCCTGATCCCTACAGGTTTAACGCTTTCCCATGAAATCAGCAACAATAATAATGTAACTTTTATGGACCGAATTTTTCAAGGTGGAATAATTATTGTAATCATAATTAAGCACTAAACCCACAGGGGTCACTACAGCGCCGTTCAAGATGGAATAAAGAGGAGAGAAGATCACAGTAAATTGATTAGTGGATGGAGGACGAAGCCTGCATCGCTCCCTGCTCTTGATAACACGCAAAACCCCATATTGACATGACTGCAGACTAATCACAAAAACGGGCAGGACTCGAACCTATGGCTGGCAAGTACTGAAACTCGTAGGCTGTGTGACCCCTTACGAGTTTAGCTCTTGCTTATGGTTATAAGCAAGAGCTGGC